GCCCCAAGGGATGACGACTAGGTCGAATGGTCATAAACTACTACAAGACCGTTTCAGGCTGGACATAAGGAAGAATTTCTTGACTGTCCGAGCCCCCAAGGTCTGGAACAGCCTGCCACCGGAGGTGGTTCAAGCGCCTACATTGAACACCTTCAAGAGCAAACTGGATGCTTATCTTGCTGGGATCCTATGACCCCATCTGACTTCCTGCCCTTTGGGCAGGGGGCTGGACTCGATGATCTTCCGAGGTCCCTTCCAGCCCTAATGTCTATGAAAAATCTATGAAATGTCTAAGAAATCTATGAAATTTATGAGTGACCAAGAAATCACTCATACCCAGCCTGGGCAAGCCAATGAAACAGGTTGGGCTGATGGGCAAGGGGGAATAGCAAGGGTAGGTGACACATGTAAGGTCAGTATCTTCCTGTCACTGCCTCTGTTGCTGAGATTCTGATGCCTCCCACGCCTGCAGGAAGCTGGCAGCCATTTGGGGTGAGTGGTCCCTCCCCTGGGGTGAGTGGATGGAGATATGGAGGGAGCAGGTATGTAAAAGGGAAGGCACAAACACTGCTCCTTCCTTCTTTGTTGATTGTCATCACCTTGAAGGACCAGCCAGTTGGCTCTGAAACTGTCGCACCTGTGGCTACAGGGATCTATCATTCTTTCCAAGCCAGCCCATTTATTGGCTTTCCAATTTGGCCCAGTTGGCTGCTCTGCTCCCTTTGATTAGGCTTTGCTTAATGATGCAGTAAGATTGGGAGCTGAAAGAGATTGCACAGGCTAGAGCTATAACACCAACTGATCCTTGCCTCTCTTTGCCTTCCGCTGTGCCTGGGTGAGGAATTAACGAGGAGAGCTGAGAAACGAGGTGCAAGAGGCAAGGTCATCTCTTTGTTGGCTGTCTCTTCCTTTCCTTTGAGCCTGCTTTGCATTTCTCCCCTGCAGGGATGGCTGTTCCTTCCTCCTTGTGCCTGCCAGTGGGTCAGGCGAATTGATACTGATCATTATGTTACTCATTCCTCAGCTATAAACAGAAACACTTGCTGCCTAATGGGGTTTTAATTATAGTATTACACAATTATTATATCATTTTCTCCTATTGATTCCCATAGTAGGGAAGAGGCAAACAGCTCAGTCTAACAGGTATTAACGACCACATACTCCTATGCATGCTCATTCACCACAGCCAGGAGGGATCCATCCTCTTAGCACAACTGTACATGTGTCTGAACCCTCACACAAGTCCGGACCCATGCAGATAAAGCCAAACATAGTAGTATAACTGGCAGGGGAGGGAGCTGGGACCAGGGCAGTAGTCCCCAGCGCTGCCTTTGAAGGGGTGCAAAAGCAGCAGCAGCAGCTGATCACACCATTACAATTGACATGGCATGAGGTAGCACTGCACAGCTGCCCCGGGCATGGAGCTGCACTGCTAGTTGCTGTGCCTCTGGCCCCACACATATTAGAGAGCCAGCTGCAACATTTCATCAAAATCCTTTTCCACTGGAAAAGGCCATTTCCATGAATCCAGTGGTTTTTGTGAAATGATATTGATTTTGACAAAACTCAGGAAAAGAAATTGGACAACTGTTTCAAAATGTCAGAATGCCTCATTTTGACATTTTTGAAATGCAAAGCTTTGACTTGCATTTGGAGGGGACTTCTGGGCTAGACATGGGTTTTCTATAACATCATATAAAGGGGTTGAAATGAAAAGGAAATGTTTCAGCTGTATCAAACCAAAGCATTATAATTGACCCCAAGTGAATTTTCTTTCATGAGAATCCTCAAAGCTTTGGCTTTCCGACCTGATTCATCATGAACTTTATTTTTCAAAATTTCAACCTTTTCCAAGGGCCAAAAAATCCACTGTGTGACCAGCTGCTTTTTACACGCTCACACAAAGCCAGACATAGAAGAATTCACAGACCCATGTGTGAAAACCTGCAAACACAGACAAAATCCACACATGTATGTGAATCTATGCACACCTGCAAATCCACGTATGCAGGAAGCCTCACTCACACACATCTACACTCTCACAAGTCTATGCATGTATGAATTTGAACATCCATAGTTGCAATCACATATATGTGGGACCTGACACTTTCACAATAATTTTTCTGTGTATGTAACCATGCACTGCTACATATGAATTCACGTACGTAGACACCTGTGTATTCACACACCCTTAAAAAAGCAACATATGAGCCATGTGTTTACATTATATACTCATCCCCTGACCCAAAACTACACACATGGAGCATGTTGTATCATACACAGTGGTATCGTAAAATCATGGATGCACAAGTACATATAGAATAACATGTATTAAATGTCTTTACTCAGGCAGATATAGGTGATATACAGAAGATGGAGCTTTTGCTAGATGCGATTTCCTTCCTCCAGGACACAAGATTAGAAATAGCTTTTAAACAAGGCTAATTTCCATAGAGCGATTCTCTTTATGGTACCTATGTGTACAGGACATGGTGTTAGGAGCCCCTGCAGCAAGCAGGCTAAATTGCCCCCAGCTGGCCTTAGTTACCTGAGTGGGCCTGGCTGCCAGAGGCCTAATTATCCTTAGTTGACCCTGGTTGCTTGCATGAGTGTAGCTGCCTGCTTATAAGCAAAAGGGATGACTCCCTGCCTAGCCTTAGGCTGCTGATGTTTGCTGGGTCCTGCTTTGTGATTTCCCAGCTTCATGTGTGTTCCTAGTCCCTGCCTGCTGATCTCTCCCTGCTTTTTGCTTCAGACTTGCTGGCTCCTGACCACCTTTTCTCCTGACTCCAGTCCAGCCCCCACATCTTCTGATAGCTGCTCCTGACTTATGGCTTTAGTTTAGTCAGGACCCACATCCCAGTCCGGTACAGTTACAGCTGCATGCTCCAGACCCCTAGGTCAACGACTCGAGTCTGGATCCCTGCTTCCTGCCTCTGCCCCCCTTGGTCTCTGGCTAAACTCAGGAGGACCACCTATGCCCTGGCCCCTTACAGATTGTGGCTCCCTGACCTGTCTGCTCCTGATCTCCTAGGTTGTGACATTCTAGGGTTAAGCCCTGACTGTCCATGTCCTGGTCATACCCCTGACAGGGGCATATGCCCTGACACACCAGCTCAAGACTGGGAGTGATCAGTTATTGGCACAGTCTAAAGACCAGTCTGAGTGCTCCAGGACAGGACTGTCTCTCTTGTATCAGACATCTGCTTAAACGAGATTGTCTCCTTATGCAATGCAGCTGGGACTTGGTGCTGAGCAGGAAGCTCCCTTCAGCAGTTCTTCCTGTGTGACTGGGTATTAATTTCAGCCCTGGTGCTGACTGGCTCCAAGCTGTTGCTCCTGCCAAGTGCTAATGCTGCCATCAATGTTGAGATGGTTCTGGGAGGAGCACTGGGGCTAGAGGATGTCAGCAGCTGTTTCCAGTGTGGCTACTCATTGGAAGAGAGGCCATGCATCTGCTTAGGACCTGTTTGAGCTGGGACTGTCCCACTTTGTGTACTGGTTGGCTAGGGTCTCGTTGCAGTGGGCAGGGATTGTAGGGGAACAGCACAACTCATACAGTAAATGAGGAAATCTGGAGGAATGGCTTCCTTTGTGCTGTTTGTCTGAGGCTCTGACTCCTCAGGCCAGTTTCTCATCCCCGTCCTGATCAGTTTGTTCCACACTGGCAGTGGAGCTAGGAGTGGAAGGAGCCAAGGCAGCTGTCTGCCCCCAGCAGGGCACTGAGAGGGATGTGGTTAGGATGCTGCTGCACTCCAGCAAAGCCTGGCTGTCACTATGGCTTGTGGGGATCTGTTACCAGTCAGCATCAGTTAGAGCAGCCCTGAGGCTGCTCTGATTTGCATTAAATGACAAGTTGGCCTCATGCAGCCCCCATGGCTGGCAAAGCAGAAAGGCACTTTTGCCTTCCCTTGGGCCCAGTGTTGAGCCCAGCCTGGCTAAACTCAAGGATGGGGGCCTGTGCCTCTATCCATCTACCTGTATTTGTCTGTGTCCAGCTTGCTCTTTCTCTGGTATCTAGGATATACCAGTTTGGTGTAGGGACTGTCATGACCTCTATGTTCTGACCTCACCCTTGCCCTTTCTGCAGAGAGCTAAGCAGAGCTCCTTTCTAGTGATGGGCAGGACAGATGCCACAGCCCCAAGGAGACTGTCTGTGTCAGTGGTGGAGTCACATATCCAATCCTCATATCCCTGCTCCCCAGGAGCCTCTAACAGAGAGAACAGAACCCCAGGCCTGGGGCAGCCTTCTATCTGGATGTCCCCAAGGGATGCTGAGAAATGGGGAACAGGAGCGTACAGAGGGGGAAAGCAGCAATACCAGAATGCTGTGAGGAGGCTGGTGAGGGCTTTGGGCTCCTCCGGGTTCCCGCGCTCATATACATGTTTGCAGCTGAGTGCTGTATATGGGAGGCATCTTGGATCCACCTTGGGCCCTAGATGTAGAGTCTCCATGGATCCCTCAAGCAACCATTCCTGTCCTTGTTCCCTATAGGAAGGAGGAGCTGGTGGTCTAAGGGGCAGGGGGCTGTTAGGGCACTGCTAGGGGGCCTGATTCATGGGCATGGAGCAGTCAGGCCGGGCCTGGGGCACAGCTGTGCTGATTCCCTGTTTATGTGTTGTCAAGAGGCTGATTATTGTCAATGCTGGTGGCATGGCCCTAGGTCTCAGGTGGGAGTGAGCCCACCACCCATCACTGTCACAAACTCAGGGCAGAACCCAACAGCTCTCTCCTCTGGATGGGTTGCACTGATTCCCTCCTCCCTCTGCCTCTGCAGGTGCTGAATGCTCCCCTTCTCCCCACGGGCAGCACTATCTGTGCCCCGCCAGGTCATAGTTGGACGTCGGGCACCATCGCTCCGGGAAGTGCTGCCTGGTGGTTCGGCGTGGACCTTGCTGCCCCCTGGTGGCAGGGCCATGGCACTCTTTGCTGCCTCGTGGGTCTGGCTACTCCACACAGCCATGTGCCTTGCCAACAGCCAGAACCCCAGCTACAGCACGGTGGTGGCCAAGAAGGAGATCAGCATGGAGGGAGACCTGGTCATAGGGGGGCTCTTTCCAGTCCACGAGAAAGGCAGGGCCAGCGAGGACTGCGGCAAGATCAATGACCACCGGGGAATCCAGCGCCTCGAGGCCATGCTCTTTGCCCTGGATGAAATCAACAAGGACCCCAGCATCCTGCCAGGGGTCACACTTGGGGCCCACATCCTGGATACCTGCTCCAAGGACACCTATGCCCTGGAGCAGTCCCTGGATTTTGTCCGCGCCTCCCTGACCAGAGTGGACGGCTCAGAGCACATTTGTCCTGATGGCTCCTATGCCATCCATGATGACGTGCCGACAGCAATCACTGGGGTCATCGGGGGCTCCTACAGTGATGTCTCCATCCAGGTACCATGAGTACAGAGGGGACCTTGGGCATGGGGCAGCCAGGGGGTACAGAGCCCTGAACACCGGCACTAGCAAATGAGCTATAGAATCAGTCTTCTGTGACAGGGCTGATCCCAGTTTCTACTGGCAGAAAAGAAAAGTCATTACAGTTTGACAGTGGAGGGGTAGGCTATAGTATGTGAAATGAATTGAATGGGTCTTAGCCCAGATCACAGCCAAGACAGCACAAAGCCTTCAGCAGAGTGATGAAGGACTAGACAGCCCACAGAGATCTGCCCATCTGCCTTCCCACTCCTACTGGGTTATTCAAGGTCAGGTTTGGAGTATGGGGGGTGCGGGTCTTGCCCTGTTGCTGTGAATTCTGTATCTCTTCTCTGTATAGTCCCTAGGGCTGTCAGTCCCCACCTTACAGCAGCATTAGGTTCACTGCAATTAAAAAAAGAACCAGGAACGCCTGTTGCTTGGTTTTGACAGTATGATCTACCTGCCAGGTTCTCATGTTGGGGTTACAGCTCTCAGCAGAATCATGATCCAGTGCTGGGGCTGCCATGACCCTTCCCTGACCCACCCTGCCTGTCTCAGAGCCTCCTAGCAAGATGGGAAGGAGTAGGGAGGAAGCCATAGTATGGAAACAGCTGAGAAACAGTGACCCAACCCATCCTCCTGCACTGACTTCTCTAGGCCAAACCCTGCTGCAGTGTACAGACTCTGCAAACCATGGCACGAGTCAGGACCAAAACTGGCCCTAAATCATTCCATGTCTTCATGGAGGATGATGACACTGCTTCCCTTGGCATTTGATTACAAAGCTAGAACCTCTCTGGCAGGCATGTTGTTTGACTGGCATTGCACAGCTACCTTGCTTCAGTTTATTATTGAATATTGAATTATATGGAAGAGCTCCTTCTGAACAAGCCCACTGGTTAACCAAGTGGCATGCAGAATTTCAGCCTGCTGCCTCTCAGATGCCACTGGTTGGATAGTGACCATGGAGACAACTGAGGGCGGGATTTGCCAGAGCTGTGTACCAGAGCAATGTGGCTCTGTAAAGATCCCATCCATCCAAAAGCTATTGTCTTCACAGACACATGCGTGAGGGGTCTCAGGCCAGTGCATGGGTGGTTATTATGTGATGGCAAGTCTGTGAGCAGCACCCTTTGGACAGCTTTTCCTTAACTTTAGAGAGTATCACCAGGGGTTCTCCTCTGCAAGTCATAACCCCAAAACAGCTGCCAGCTAGCAGTTTGGCATTCCAGGCTTTCCCCTGCCTCCTGCCTCTGCAGCTCCACCACAACCAGTTTGCTCAGCCCCTTGCTCCCAGTCCGGCTCAGTCCCCAGGTGCATTCCATCAGCTGTTCCATCTTTGGGGATCTTCACTCAAGTGCTGGAGACCGCTGATCAGAGCATGGGTCTCAGGTGCAATTGAGACTCCACTGAGTCCAGGTTGGGTCATGGGGGTGCAGGGTTGACTGAGACCCCTCATTGTGGGTAGGATAGGAGCAGAGGTTGAGGAACAAGGTCTGCTAGGTGGGGGGCCTTTGTAATCAGTTAGGTCAGGGGCAGGCAATTATTTTGGGCAGAGGGCCACTTACTGAGTTTTGGCAAGTTTTGGAGGGCCGCATGATAGGCAGCCAGGGGCAGATAAATATTAATTTTCTAAATTTTTTAGGGGTCCCGCGGGCCAGATAGAATGGCCTAGCAGGCTGCATCTGGCCCCCAGGCCGCATTTTGCCCGCCCCTGAGTTAGGTTGTCCCAGCTGAGCAGAGGAAGGAGCGTGAAGGTGAAGGGAAGTAGAAAGAACACAAGGATCCAGATAATAACCGTGCTGCAGAGAGCACTGTCAGAGCTCGCTCACCCAGGCTGCTGTGAGAGGTGGCATGGCATGCCATCATTACAGGTGCCTCCCTCCTCAGAGCACTGCTTGGTCTAACATGCAATCTTCAGCTCCCATAATATCAGTGTTCAGAAAGAGCCTGTCACTTCCAGGGCGTATCATGTGTGCAGTGTAACAGAGCAATGCCATGGAGCTGGGAATGGTGCTCCTCCAGGAATGGAGAGAGATGCAGCTTCTAGGGCTGGCATTTCCCCTGTGCCCCAGTCAGGAGCCTTTGCATACATCCACTCCATCATGGTAGCCTCCTTTTGTTCTCCTCCACTGGCTGAGAATAGCAATTGAACGCTGTGGAGGACTGGCAAGTCTGTGGCTCTTCCATGGCCCTGGAGACTGAAGCCTCCTAAATACAGACCAGGGACTACCTGGACAGCAACAGCACAAGCAGCAGACATGCTGTCCACCAACATGCCTCCAGCCTAACCTGGAGGCCCAGTCTCCATGGCCCACTTGGCCTCCGACCTCTGTGCATGGAGAGCAATTAGTTACATTTGTGGCAATGACTTTTGCAATGATGGATCTAGCAGCTCTCCACAAGGAATTGCACTGAGCAGAAGGTGACTGATGGGGGAAGCATGTCCGAGCTGCCCTGTGTCCTCACTACTTGAGCCTCAACTGTCCTGGCTGCCAGAGGGTGGCTGATGTGCTTGGATTCCCTCTACCCATGGGATTGCTCTAGGCTCTGAAAGTCTGCAGTTAAACCAATGCTCCATTGAACAAAACTTCAGTGGCAAGGAACAGCTGTGTCCCTCATGTGTGTCCAGTGCTTTACAGGGACCTGAGGGTTAGGGCCATGGGTTGCGTGGGACCGTGGAATGGAAACAGTAGGAAAGTCTGTCCTGAAGTAGAGGCTGGCTCACTAAGGATAAATGATGGAAGCCAAAAGGACCTGCAAGGCCCAGGGGCAGTAAATAAAAGCAAGTGAGATGGGGGCAGGTTGTGAGGTGAAAACAGCACCAGTGGGGGCTGAGCCACATTCTTTTGTATCCCAGAGAGGATGACATGGCACATGCTGTGGGCCTATAGCAGATACACTCGGACCTCAGCAGGGATGTGGCCTGTGGCGGGGTAGTTATACCAGATACACTCAGATGACAGGCGTAAGGATAGGGCTCATGGTGAGGGGGCACTGCAGATACACTCAGCTCCCTAGGCTGTAATACATGGCCCCAAGAACAGTTGTAGCAAACACTCCCCTAGGGAACACCAAACACCTTTCAGCCCTACAAGATGCCCTGGCCTGCTGCAGCTCCCTCATGCTCTCCGAGCCCCACCTGCTTGCCGCGGTGCTGACACTGATCACAGCCTGACTCCTCTACCTGCATGGGGCGGGTGTAACCTTTTTATAGCCCAGCGGCTGTTTGCTTTCACCAGCCTCTTCCAGAGGCTTCCCTCCCATGGAGAGCGCCAGGCATGCAGGCTAACAGGGTGCTGGGCCCCAGGCATTCAATTGTGTGTGGTTCCTGAGCGACAGGGTAATTAGCTGCTGCTCTGGAGAACCTCTGCAGCTGTATTAATGCCATAATGAATGCAAATTAATATATCATTAGCACATAGTAAGGCTGTTACTGGGGGAGCAAGGGAACACTCCTTGCTAACACCTCCTGCATGGAGATGCAGACCCAGCCAGCCTGTTGCCGGTGCTCTGGTGCTCTCAGGTGCTGGTCCCGTGGCTGCAAGAGCTAAGAGGAGTGTCTGATGGGAAAGGTCTCCTCTGGCTGCCGCCTTACATGGGGGTTCACCCCTTCACTCCTTCACTCGAGCCCTGAGCCACTGCTGGCATAGAGGGGAGGGGAGTGGCTTACCAGCTCCTATTCACTAGGTTCTCCATTCCTCTGTCCCCCTGTCCTCTCCTAATGCTCTGCTTCATTTTGCAACTGCCTCAGCTCTGACCCCATTGCCTGCCTGCGGGAGGGGTACCAGAGGGCCCTGGCAGCACACCTGAGACCCTGCCATCTGCTGTTCGCATCCCATGGTTATCCCAGGCCAAACACTGCCCCCCCCGCCATGGAACTGCACTGGAGCCAGCAAGATGTGGGCAGGCAGGAAGGACCAGGCCCCTGTCTGGCTAAGGGGCAAAATAAACACAGAAAGGGCTGAAACCTTTGCTTGTGTATGACTCCCCTTCTTCCCTGGATGGGGCTGCAGGACCCTAAGCATGACTGCAGCCCTCTGGGAGGTCCCACGTCATGAGATCCCTACATCCGCCTTCCCTCCCTGCAGCGCTTGCTTGATTTACTCTGCAAATTCCCCTCTGCAGCAGATTGCAGAACAGCTGGGGCCATCACTCTCCCTCCACTTCCAAGGCATTAGGAGGTCCCTTGGAGCCAGACGCCTGCCCCAAGGGCTGCAGAGGGAACCCCTGATCCCAAACCACTGCTCCTCTCAGAGCCAAGGGGCCCTGAAGAGATAAGGGAAGAGCACCTCTCAAAGGGGAGAAGGAAACAGCACCAGGAGAGAGGGAAGAAGGGAGTGGGGAAGGGGGAGAAAAGACAGGTATAGGCTGGGGAGGGGAGAACGCTGTAGGAGGCAAAGAGCCAGGGTATGGGGAATAAATGATCAGCAGTGATTTCTGATTAAAATGTCATGAATACAATGCAAGTGGGTGGCAGGAAATAAAGCGATCGTTTTCTCTTTGGAGATAGGGTAGATATCTAGCTAGATGGAGAAATAGATAGCCAAGAAAGCAGTTAAGTATGTAGCTGGGCAGACAGTTATACAAAGGGACAGGGGAGAGGCAAAATAGATAATTAGGCAGCTCATTAAAAAGATAAGCAGATCATTAGCTGTAGTGGCAGACCCTGGCCAAGCTGGAGATAGAACTGTGGTGGTGCTGATAACACAGAGCCAGTTATTAATAAGCCTGGGCTTTCCTAGTGCTGTGTGTGTCCCCCCCACAGGCTGGAAGGCGGCCGAGTGTGTGTTCGCTCACTCACTCTCTGATTCTCTCCTGTGAGTCCCCTGGGCTTTGTGCACAGAGCTGCAGATTTGATCCAGCTGAGACATCGCATTTCGGAATTAGCACCCTCCGTGCCTGCCTGCTGTCTGCTCGCCCCCACATGGGCCGGCATCCCTCAGGTCACTGAAAGAGGCTGCCTGGAGCGAGGAGAGGCACCTGTGTCAAGGCGCACACACACATGCCCTCCCCCCTTCCCCACCACCCCCACACCTCACTTTCCTGTTAAACAAACCAACCCCAAACACCCCCTCGCTGGCAGCTGCAGCATCTGAGTCCACAATCTTGGTAGGGCTTATCAGCTGAGATGAATGGCAATGCAGCTTGCACGGCCAAAGCTTGGGGCATGAAGGTGGCTTTAAACCTAGAGTCAGGGCCAACACGGCATCAACTAGAGAGGCCCCAGGGGCCCTGATAGACATCAATGTCCCAAGGGCTCCCTAGCAGTTGTGCAATAATCCTTCCTATGCACCTAGCCATTGTGCAATAATCCTTGCCATACCCTGCTCACCTCCTGGTGCCCCTGCCTGCAGCATGCCCCATACACAGGGGCTAGGGATTGGCACAGTGTGGAGCTGGCTTTGTAGTGGGGGGCTTCCTTGCCAGGTTCTGGTGAAGCAGTCTCAGGGCTCATGCGCTATTGGCTCTTGTGGGGGCATGTGTGAGCTTTTCCCCACTGGCCTGCACCATCTTAGGCCTGGTACCAGCTCCTGGCTGGGAGCAGGCATAGAATGAATCCACCATGCTTCGTTCTCAGTTTTAACAAGCAGCCTGGAGACCCTCTTGGAGGAGCTGTCAATGCAGAGTATTTTGGATTTGCAAAATCACAGCTAATGATGCTGCTGATGTCATCCAGAAGAGCCCTAAAGCCCTTTCACAGGCAGCCGTGCCCTGCTTTCCTCCCGGTTACACCGGGGTAAATCTGGAAGCACTCAGTAAGACTACTCCAGACTCACATCATTGTAATTGGAAGCAAAATCAGACCCTGGCTATGCAGGACTCACCCAACCATCCCTGCAGGGACACTATCTCAGGTAGGGGACAGCAGCCGTTGGAAGCCAGTTATTTAGGATGCAAGATGAAAATCATTATAGGAGGTAGCGTGGGCTATTGGATCAAGCACTGGGACTCACCTGGAGTCTATTCTTGGCTCTGCCACTGATCTACTGGGTGACCATGGGCAAGTCACTTCCCTTCTCTGCACTAGTATCCCTTTCCATCTGTCAAATGGGGATGCATAATGATGCCAACCTCCTTTGTAACATGCCTTTCCATCCTCACATGAAAAGTGCTAAGAGTTGGGCATTGCTATACCCAATGAAGCCTGCTGGGGGAGAGCTAGGACAGTACAGTATGTTGCAGTCCTGGCTGGAATTTAGCTTGGGTGGGGTCTAAGGCTTCCATCTCTCCTGGAAGATGGTATTTCCAGCAGCACACAGCTGCCTAGATTTGGACCTTACAGGACCTTGGACCAGCACTGGTACCAAAGGAACCACTCACTGAATCAGCAGCTGGTTTCCAATACACTTACTGTGAACATGATGCGCTGAAAAGACCACAGTGCCCCTGATACCAGGCTGAGTATCCATCCTGCCCTGATTCAGAAAGGACGTAGCAAACCACTGGTGCAAAAGCAGGGTATTGTTCCTTTGTGCAGGACACAGGGGTTCCTGTCTAAGCACACAGCCCACACTCCCTCTGCTGATCTCTATGGATCTGCTCCTGTTCACTGTTTCTGTGGAATTGTTGTGCAATCTCCTTCACTGGAGATTCCCACAAAGAGGCTGGAGAGGTAGCCGTCGGGGGTGCTTTAGCAATAACATATCTGCATCTATGTAGAGGGTTGGACTGGATGACCCTTGAGTTCACGTCTAAGTTTATGATTCTAAACATGGTGCACACCAGAGGTGGCTGCATTGGAGCATGGGGGAGGGGATTTTCTGCTGGGTGGTATGTTGTGTTGTTCTGTTGTAAAGCGAGCACAGGTAGCTTTTGATGGAGGCAGACTGACATGTTAGCTCTCCAGCATGCACCAAAGGACCAGCATTGTCAGCCAGACTCTCTACCTTGGCCTGGAGTAAACAAATCTGGAATGAATTGCTTCCCCCCTTTTCTGGAGTTAGACTCCTCATGTGACCTTTACCCCTGGATTACACCATGGCCAGGACTGTGCCTTTAGATGCCAATCTTGCCTTTCCACTTTCAGAGGCCCCCTGCTTCCTGATCTATAAGACTTTCATGAAAGCAGAACTGAGGAAAAGACTCTGAGATCATTGTCTCTCTCCTAGGGAAGGTGTCTTGGAGGGGTTTATTTCACTCTCGGCGCTTGTCTTTGTAAGAAGCCTTCCCCTGTGGAGTTTCCTTAGCCAACAGCAATCTCAATGATCAAGTCCACGGCTTCATCTGCCATCTTTTTCCCAGCCCACACCATGGACTCTCTGTGATAGGTGTACTGGCGCCAGCTGTTTTGGAGGACCAGAGCTGCCCTCTGGTACTTCTTGTACTGGGTCCTGACCAGCCACCTTCTGACCAGTGACTGCAGGAGGACTGTCGCCCTTTCAGTCCTCATGTATGTCATCAATGCCTTTACCCGTCTCTCCTCCCTCTGCTTGAAGGCAACCTGGCGCCACCATCTCTGTATCACCAGCACAGAGAGTGTGGCATGGTGCAGTGTTCGCCGGACCAGCTGGCCCCGCCACCATGACTGGATTGTAATGGCGGATTGGTCTCTGGGGGGCTTCTTTTTCGGAGGAGGCTCTGCAGGTGGCGTCG